TCACATTGCTATGTGTGACGCTCTGTGTACCTTTCCCTTTCCTTGGAAAAGCCCTCCGGCTCTGAAATTTGAAGCCATAATCCTCAGTTTCAACCTTTTTTTTTCTAAAGCACACAAAGAGACCCAATCTGCCATAGATTTCCAGATAAAAGACAAACATGTTTATTTCCTTGTATCTAAAAATACCTGGGAGCATTTAACTCTGTTTTCTTTGCATTCTGACTTTAGCTGCGAATATTCATCAAACCACATAAGTCGTTGGGTTCTCCTCCCAACGTAAAGATGAATTAGATTGCAAAACTGGATTGGGTTTCTTGTTCTGTGTATTCGCTGAAGCCCTCTCATTATGTAAATTAGCAGTTGGGTTGTAGCTCAGCCTCCATTCAGGGAGGACAATGCAGCACACGAGCACTCAAACACACACGGGCCTCTGAAAGCCTCATCTGCCAGTTCCCATCAGCCGTTCCCGTTACAGCGTCTTTCTCTCATCTTAACAGAAGTTTGCTCTTTGTTTTACACCTAAAAAAATAGAACAAATACTTTTATAAAAGGCCGTTTAGTTCCTGATTTTTAAAGAAATATATTTATCAATATAAGAAAGCTGTAAAGTGTTGAAATTATTAAACTGGGACAGGCATGTCCAAACTGGACCCCGGTCAGGACTGGAGTCCTGGTTTCCGGTCAAACAAGTCCCAGCGCTACTGTTTGGTTTGCTCTTAGGTTTCTGGGGAAGATTATGGAGCAAAGGTGAGGTTTGAACTTCCTGGAAACATCACCAGTCTGATTTATGACTGTGTCTAAACTGTGTTGGTGAATACTCCTTACATGGAACAGGACACCACAGTGTGCAAGACTGAAAAGTCAACTGACTAAACAAGTAGTCAAGAGCCCCACAGGGGACAGTACTCTCACCATTCCTACTCTGTCCACCGCTGACTTTCAGTACCAGAGTCCTGTCATCTGCAGAAATGCTCAGATGACCATGCAGTCTTGGGTGCAGCAGTCTTGTGATGTGTACAGGGAGCTAGTGAACCACTTTTTGGCATGACATTCATGATCATCTGATCCTTAATGTAAATAAACCAAAAGAGATGATTGTAGATTTGAACAAGAAACAGGAAAAATAATCAAATTAACATAATGGGAGAAGCAGTGGAGGTGGTGGAGGAATAAATACTTTAGTGTTCACCTGGACAACAAACTATACTACAAAGCCATCTACAAGAAGAGAGACTGTACTTCATAAGGAAGCTTAGGTCATTCAGTGTTTGAGTGTATGACAAATGACATTGTCCTTCTGGTGTAGTATTTGTTGTTTTCGTCTTTTAAGGTTACGTTTTGCTAAGTTGTTTGCTAAATAAAGCCTTTCTGTGTATATTTACCATAATAATATGCGACTGCGATTACGTCACTGCACATACATACAATTGAGCAACAAGCTAAGTAATGGAGGCAAGTGAGCCCCTTTTTTCTGAAAGACTTTAAGCCATGTTTATTTCGATTGCTAAGAGTATTTTTTTCATTAAACAGCTTAAAACATTATCAAAAACATTACTTTTTATAGGAAATCTAAAATATTAAATTTTCCTTATTGTTTATTTATTATTAACAATAAACATCAGCACATCTACATAATTATATTGCAACTCACTCCGAACCATAGGCACCTAAATGGGGCAGAGTCAAACTGTTTAATATTTTAGGTCATAGCTGCACAGGTATTTTGATTAGTTACTAGTTAGTTTGATTGTATGGTAACTTAATTAGTAACTCAGATACCTTTTTGGGTGAAGTAATCTGCAAGTCAGTTTTTTAAAGTAATGTTCCCATTGCTGGTTGCTATTATTATTTTTTTATTATTCTTTTACCCTTATTTTCCAATCATGTAAAAAAAAAAAAAAAAAACAATAACAACAAAATATAACTAGAGTGCCCTCTTCCTGTGGACGGCTCTGTGGACGGAGGGAGTTTTAGTTTACCATAGTTTTCCTGATATCTTGTCTTGTTTTGCCTCTCAACCACTGAGCTTGCCTATTCGCATCTGAACATTCTGCCTGAATGCTCTGTTGGACTCCAGGAACCCTGAATCTGCTTGTTTCTGTTCTGATTAGAACCCCTGACTGGGCTACAGACTCCTGGATCTCTGAAACTTCCTATTCTGAACTGTTTCCTTGACCTGGCTTGGATTCCTGCTGGTTCACTGGGGCTGCAGCATGTGGTTCATTTTGGGCGGCGCCCGCCACATCTCGTTGGCAGTCCACCAGCTGGATCCTACCTCAGTCTAAGGAGATGGACTGAACTGTTAAACCAGGTAAGTGACTCACAGGGATAATCATCCTCTGTCAAATTATCATAGTCACTTACTTGTGTTTTTCTCCACCAGAGTATTCAGTGATGGGCAGTGAGCAGCCCCTGCAGATCTGCACTTCCGCGTCTGATTTTAATAAACGCTTTGAATTTTCCCAATGTCTGTCTAGCCTTGAATATTGGGTCCTATTTTCTGAGCTTTATTAAAATCTGACAACATGAAGTAGGTTTAAATACCTTGAAAATCCGAACGGCAAGCCCAAGTATAAAAGAAAATCAATTTAAAACATTGAACAAAAAATTATTAGATAGAAACTGGGGAAAATGCAGTCTATGAAAAAGTTAAGCTGCTTTTGCCTTCCACATAGATAGCAAAACCTCACAGTAAAAGCTAATGTCTATAGAAAATTTGACCCCTGATCCAATTTCACAGCCGCAGAGGAGATGACAGCATTTAATGTATATGCTAGTCCTGAGTAAACATTGGAGTCGAATGTCGGTCAGCTACAGTACAGCTCAGTGGTGCTCTGCAGCTTCATGGAAGCTTTACTGAAAACAGGACTGGTTTCCAGAGAAGGGCATGCTTACAGTCAACAAAGGAAGAGAAAAATGCTTTGACAACAGCATAAAGGCTGAAAATTGAAGCACCAAGGTGAGAGGTTATCTGAAAATGTCCTCCAGTGAATACATAGTTTGGAAAGAAAAAGTTGACAAAATAGGATAATATTTAAAGCCCGTGCAAAAAATGTCTGCCTCTTAGTTAGATTTTACAGATTTATTGTAAAATTAAAAGTTATTTCCAACATTATGTACCTTTTCAGTGTTATTCACACCACTGCAAACTTTATCTTGCTGCAGATTTAGCATTAAATCCAAAAGCTAAGCCCTTTTTTAATCTATGCAGCTGGTTAAAGAAAAGTTTTTCAGGACAAACCTTAAAGCTAGAGAAGGGCATAAAAATATGTCATTATTTTAAATACTGGGTTGACTATATTGATCCTCTCTTTTTTTACATTATACATTAAACATCAGTTTTAAAGAGCCTCTGCTAGCTTACAAATACTGCTGAAGTACAAGGCATCTGAAATATTGTAGCCATGTAAATATTTGATCAAAGCATTCTTTACTTGTGATATTTTCACACATTGAAAATACATAATTGGTAACTTGATATTTTCTACAGCTTCGCTTTAAAAAGAGCTACAAAAGGATTTTATTTTATTGGACAGGAGGTTATATAAACAACTTTTTCATAAAAACTCCTTTTTTGTTTGTTTTAAATAATACATCCACAGAAGATCCCTAGCATATGCCTGACATCCCATAATGTCCTAAAACTCATGCATATAAAACCCAGGCGTATGCATAGCGTATTAATAACAAGTCCAACGACAGCCTAACTTATGCATAACGCACGGCAGCGTAATGCCCATGAAATGTCACAAGCCAGTGTCATGAGGACGGCAGCGATGCCCCTCAACAGATATTTCATGTAAAACCAATCCTAAAAACTCTGAGGATGCAAAACAGTTTGGTATTGTCTAAACTTACTCCAGTCACACAAAATGCCCTGAAAAACAGCTCTGCCAATGGTAGCCTTCCTGTGTTTACTCTGTAGATTGCAGTCCAGTCACACCTAATCGCATCATCGACCCAGCATGCATTGAAAAGGGGAAAAATGGCGACCTCCACGAATGAAATATATAGCATTGAATGTATTTATGTTGAAGTGATTATTAGTTTTTATGTTTCACAAATGGCATTTTTAAGTTCAATTGTATTCAGGCAAACATGTTCATGTCATCATAGCTCCTGTTCAGTCATCACCTTGCAACTTTAGCCACTAGGGTTGCTAGACCTGCAAATTGACTTGAAGTTGCAAATTGATCCAGCCTTCCTCCATCTTTCATAATCTGCCAGCTGAACACTTTGGACCAGCAGCCTGAGAGGTCATGGAGTCACTTGTAAAGACAAGGAAGCATTCCCCCCTCTGGATTAAATCCTACATCAAAGAATATAAAATATGTGTTTATATCTTTTCTGTTGCCTTATCTTTTTGCTTAGTTAGCTCCGCTGTTTAAGAAGACCTCAGACTGCTTTAAAGCTGTGCTTATGGTCACGTGACTTATTCGGTGACAAATCCGACCCTCTTAAGATACATAGGCGAGTTTTTAAGGAAAGCAATCCACACAAGGCCTTGATATGCACAGAATGCTGAATATAAACCTGAAAAATAAGTGAATATATATCAAATTAAGCTAAAAGTTGGGTACAAAAGTACACAGTATTGCTTTAAAAAAGATGTGAACCGATGCTTTGAAATGAAACCAACTAAAAAATGTAATGTATGTGTGACCAAAACATTAACTGCTGAGAACATTTTTTGATCCAAAGGCTCCTTCAACCTTTATGGAGTGGTGAACTGTAGCATTATTTACATCATGACTTGAGCTGGAAAGCTGTTAAAAACCAGTTAGACTGGTCTCAGTTGGCTTTTGGGGTAAAGCTTTAATCTAACTGGTTTAGTGGGAAGTCCCCTGTGCTTAGATAAGGTTCAGGCCTCAGAGACTCAGCCAGAAGTGCTGAAAGGAAACTGTTCTTCCTCTTTACATATAGAACATCTTCTGTCACGGTTTGATGTTGCTTTAAACACATGCGGAACATTTTTTGTGAACTGCTTTTGATCGTCTTACCTAGAAGCTGCACGCCACGGGTCAGGCCGTAAACATCGATCAAGGCCCAAAGGGGCTCAGCTGTGCGGACTCCGCTGAAGAAAAGCATGGGACTGGACTCGTTAATGCGGTAGAAAACCCTGCCTTTCTTGTCGACCCAAAAGGCAATGATGTTTCCCTCATTAGCAAACTCTTCAGGCAGAGCTTTGGCCCAGAAGCCGCTCTGGGACACCAGATCGGGGCAGGCGTACTTTGGCAGGTTGTCTGGGTTTATCCTGGAGGGGTCTTTGGAGGTGAAGCCTAGACGCAGAGCGCCACTCCAACAGCACTGCTTTTTAGTGATCTGAGAAAAAGAAGTTAAATTCATTTTTAATTATTAGAAACAATATGTCATTTAGACTTTTAACACAAACTGTTCCAAAATAAGGATAGAAAAATACCTTGAGGCGGACTTGCTCGTACAGTGCAATGGGCCTGTTGCTGAAAGTGATGGCGTTGCAGAAGCTGGCCTGCCTCTTTACGCTCTTCTGGGCCAGGTCCATGACTATCTGAGACCCCTTGGTGTTTGGATGGAAAAGGAGCGGGCTTACCAGGAACGGCCCACCAACGCTGCTGCACTGGATCGGCAGACACCTTTTGGATTTGTGGTGGCATCGATGCGACGTGGACGGGAATGGGCCTCCGAGGGAGTCTGAGGCAGAAGAACCAGAACAGAAACAGAGCTTATTTAGATAAAGTAAATATTTACCATAAACGTTTGCAGCATGGTTTTTACTTTAAAATATATCAAAAATACAAAAAAACTCTCACATTTTTCAAGTGATGACTAAACAAGATTTTGCAGACAAATGTTGAAAACTAGCTCCTTTGTTTAAAAACACTTGAAAGTTTTGATTTGGCCAAAGTAACAAAGACGACACACATCATCCATGCCTTAAAATTATAATTTTTTCGTTTTTAAGCTCCACTAAACTGGGCTTGTTAATCAAGTATAAAACTGGATAATTCAGCATGAAACCATTAGAAAT